TCATAGAGCAATAAAAATTATTACCGTTAGCAAGTAAGTAAACTTTGGACCAATCACATTTAGGCGGTATAGGATAAGTGTCTATACCCCCGGGGCACAGGATAATAGCCTCTACCCCGGGTACAGGATAAGGACGCTCGTTAATTTAGTGCAGATTATCACGGGACAGCAAAATTTTCAAGTATAATCTGATTGGTTTGTTACACAAATTTAAAGAATTATCAATTCGAGAAATTATTTATATTAGTAATCTAAACGTTACACCATGTGATTCCAACAATTTAAATGGCGGCAATTTTATAAATACATAGTAATTGTACAAATTTTTTAAACTTTCAACTGCTTATAACTTTAATAATATTTAACCGATAAATATAATAGTTACTTGAAAATAATAGATATTATCGTAAATTTTATAGTTACAAGATTTTAAAAAGTAAACGAGAAGCACCATAATAAAAAATAGAGATTAATTGAGATTTAATGAATTCGAAAGTTTTTAGAGCCCCAGCGTCTCAGCAAATTCGGGTAATGTCGTCAACGTTTGCAAACTACCGTCGACATTATGAAGCGTTAGAAATTTCGCAACATGCAGATCGAAATTTAATAAAAGCACAATTTTACAAATTATCCAAAAAATATCATCCAGATGTAAATTTTAATGATGAAAAAGCGCACAACAAATTTTTACAAATCAACGAAGCATATTCAATATTAGGCAATGAAAAGAGTCGAAGAGAGTATGATCGAACATTGACACAACAAAGCGTACGTAGTAATAGTGGAAATTCCATAAATAGAACAACGATTCATTTCCGACCTAAAATCCGAAGGCAGCGAAAACAAAATTATGGAATGTATGGTAATCCCTCAGAAAGGACAACATTTGAATCAAATAATGAAAGCGAACAAGAATATCAGGACCAACGAAAGAAATTGAAATTTAATTTTAATGAACATTTTCAGAGACATTATGAGGTTGAGAAAAAAAGAGCACAGGCATCAGCAGAAAAAGAAAAAGAGATGGAGACAATTAAAGAACATTTGCAATTAAGCCGAAGGTATACGCGAATAGTATTAATTGTTGGTCTTTTGATGATTGCTGGAGGAGGAACGAGTGGAGTTGTAAGTTTATAGATGGCATTTATTATTTAAAATTTTATAATTAGGGCATTAGAGTTTGGTGATTATGTATATTAAAAATATTAAAAATATTAAAAATATTAAAAATATTAAAATATTTAAAAAATGCATTATAGAACACAAAATAACTTGAATTTTTTTAATAAATCAATTAATATTATATTTACTTCTACCAAATTTATGAAACAATTATAAAATAAATAACAAAATTTAGGAGTATAGTAAATAGGAGTCAATCGATCACCAGTCAGGAATTTGATTGAAATCGTATCCTTCGTAACCTTTATAAGCATAATAAGCGAGCCGAATATGATAAAAACCTGGTGGTAAAAATTGTATAGATAAAAAGTTAGAAATAGTAAATAATTACAAGTCATCCTCGTTATAGTGAACTCTCGATATAAATATAGTGAACTCTCGATATAAATATAGTGAACTCTCGATATAAATATAGTGAACTCTCGATATAAATATAGTGAGCTCTCACTCGATACAAGTATAGTAAACTTGACGTACTCGATATACTTTGATTTGATATATTTGATATATTCGACATAGTCGATATATTTGATATATTCAATATACTAGAAATAACAATATAGTGACTTCACTGTAACGAGAGTGACTTGTACTATAATTGAAGGAATTACAAATTTTTTCATATATTTTTATATACCAGGTATGAATAATAAAGATCCAAGGAAGATAAAAGGTTTTCCTCTATCGAGCCAAGCCTGAAATTAATTAGACATAAGTGCAGTGATCTACCATAATTAACTAAATAAACTAAAAAAACTAATTAACGAACAAATATTATTACCTCACTAGAAATGATTCCAGTCATAATGAGTGAACCAAAAATTATTCCTAAAGAACCTAGCACGAATAATACAACGGCCAAAATAATAGAATTCCAAGGAACTGGGTACGATCAAAAAAGAAAGCTGGTGAATATACTTTAAGGAAGGTGAATCTTATTAAGAAATATATATACTTGGGTAAACAGGAGTGTGAAACTGCGCATCGGTGAAGCCATTGTCGTCTTGCAATTGAATATATGTCCTTGAACTTCTAAATCCTCGAAATCCCCGGAATCCTCGCATGTTTGAGTGATTAAAAAATATTAACACCGTTGAAGAAGACTCCGACTATCAGTATGGCGTGTCTAAAAACTTATGATCACGTTGATCGTCGCACAAAAGTTACGTAATGAGAAATATCGTATTTTTCGTATGGGCCATGAATACAAGATTATCAAATTAGGTACTACGTATAACACGTATAACGCTAATGCTAAAAAATCCCACAATGATTTTCTTTATAATTATATATTAAGTATGTGTTAAAAAAATTTTTTTTTTCCAAACTAAATTTGCACAAACAGTTCGCTTTCAATTCATATTTAATTCGTATTGAATATCGAGCATTCCCGTGCAAAAGAACAATGAAGAATTTTTTTAGAGGATTTTGAATCTGATAAAATATTGTATTCTTTGTCTGTTCAGAGGATTCTTACATTTTGCATATATTTAAAACTCCACGGATCATACTTGCTTACAGCAAGGATTAATTTTTACTATTGTATATCGATATCTTTTATTCTGTTATCAGTTATGTATAAATTAAAATCTAAATTATACTGATACGTACGTACGTACGTACGCACGCACGCACGCACGCACACACGTACATACGTATCATACGTAACGACAATTATTGATGATAGATTCTTTATCATCAGTTATATACTTATTATTGAAATTTATGCTAGACTAAAAAAATACGATTCTGTTTTAAAATATATACATTTATAGTAAAATTACAATTATTATTATATATACGTACGTATCATACTAATGCTAATGTACGTACATACTATCAGCTATACATACATACCTGATACGTACGTACGAAGGTTAATTTATACGTATTCGTATATATTCTCGTATAAAGTTGTAGTATGTTACGTATGTTACGTATCAGGTATTTATTCTTATGTATTCTTATCGTTATTGGTTTATTGGTTCAAAACCACAGAATGCACCGGACAACCACTTTTTAATAATAAGAAACTCCTAATACCGATACTGTAATATAATTAAGCTAAATCTGTTCGATATGATAAACCACCCGCATGATTGGTTGATTTCTACAAGAACACTTTATTACACTTTATTACACTTTATTACACTTTATTACATTTTATTACATTTTATTAAAACAAATTATTATACGTATAACTTATTATATAACTTATTATATGACTTATTATATAACTTACTGTATTATATAACTTATTATAGCACGTTTCACTTTCACATTGTACTTTTCCTGTACTTTCCTGTATTTTCCCTGTACTTTAATACTGGATTTGAAACAAATCAATTAAGAAAAATAAAAATTAAACATCATTTACTTAACATTTTACTTATTAGATTTATAAACTTTCTACGTACGTATATACTCTTCTGAAGAACAATCATTAATGTAATGGTACGTATGTACGTATGTACGTACGTACGTACGTAGGGTTATGTGTTAATACCGTAATGGTACGTACGTATGTACGTAGGGTTATGTGTTAATACCGTAATGGTAGTAATGGTAGAGGTAATGAAAAACGATCATATGTACATTTACTACGTACGTATGTACATTTACTATTAATAGTTTGTAGTGAATAATGTTTCCAAATTTCACTTTAATAGATCTCCGTAATGCATTAGGTAAGTAATTATACGTACCTTAACTTATTATTGGATTAATCAAGAAATAAAGAACCGATATTGAATTTTATTATGGATGTCAAAATATTGGTCCCTCAATGATTTGTTATGTAATACTATCTGTTCCTGCCGTGTAACCCCCAATCTGTGCTATCACGTGCCTTTTCCTTGCTTCATGTTCTTTTAATTGGTTCTGCTACGTCTGTCTTTCTGACATATAAGTATTGAGTATATCAAAATATACGTGAATTAATAAAACTTTAAAAAGATTATAGTGAAGGAGAAGTAAAAGTTCAAGTCCGTCCCAATGATCATAAAAAAGGGGATAATTTAATTCTGAATTATATTTTCGGTAAATATCTTTTCGTGTTTTATTAAGCAATTTATTTGGTTTTTTATATCAACACTTGAACTGGTAAAATCGGCCGAAGTTCTTCAAAACCTTTTCGGGTAATTTATTTAAACTATTGAAACCTCTCTACAATGTTATATAACGAAAGTCTTAAGAATTCTTAAGAATTTTTGTTGAAAAGGAAAAAATATTAAAAAAAAAAATTCAAATTATTCAAAATTATTCAAAATTATTCAAAATTATTCAAAATTTTGTAAAATAATCTCTCTTTTTTTCTTTTTTCCTCCTTCGTTAATCGTTGGTCTCCATTTCAAGATCTTTCCCACTATATATATAATATATATACATTTACTTACTCTGTAGTCATAAATAGTGTTCCAAGTGACACTATGGACAAAGAGCTCCGGAGGCCATTTACCTCACGTTCCCTTCCGGGTGAACGTTTTACTCCAAGTAGTCTACCTACCTCTCTATCTATCCCTACAACTTTTCATTCCCCCATAATTCCTCCGACCGTGCAACAAACTATCGGTCCCGAAGATCATTTTTCTAAACAAAGAAGAACTCGCAGAAGTCTATCAACTTCTTCTTCTAATCAAAGTTTACTCAAAAGAAGTTTATCATTTAAACCTCGATCTCAATCAAATATGTCCCCGGCTACCGAGAGTGACGCAAGCAATAGGTCTTCATTTGATGACTTTGATTATTCTACTCCTGGTACTCCTTATGCTAGTCCAAATTCTGGTTTGAATTCTGGTTTGAATTCTGGTTTGAATTCTGGTTCAAATTCAAGCTGTTGTTCTTTGAACAATTTATATTTTGCTTTATCGCCAGGTGCCTCAAATCACCATGCTTTTCCTTTTTATCAAAGAGAAAGGCATCATTCTTTATTTGTATTATCCGGAAAATCTAACAATCAAAAACTTTATCAATCATTAAATTCTCCGTCGTCTTCTCAATCTATACAACTATCTCAATCGTTATCTTCTCATCCTATTAATAATAACTTCAATAATAATACTATCAATAATGTCTCTTGTTCTCCTTCTCCCTCTACTCCCTCTGTCACTACTACTTCTTCTCGTCGTCCTAGTAGTGTAAATTCGCAATTTAAGAGATTATTAAATTTAAAATCTTATCCTTCAAGTAGTACTCTCTATTCAGATTCTGAAACTGACTCTTTAGAAACTGACTCTGATGCTTATGCTACAAATGATGAACAATCTAGCTTTACTTTTTCTTCTTCTGTAAGGCGTAAACCTTCTTTTCAAAAATCTCCTGCTAATCGTTTTTTTCCTGATTTATCTATCGACGCTGAAGAAAATCGTCTTAGTAATTTACATATTATTGATGAAGGTGCCCCTGAATTTACTTATCCAAAAGTTAAACGAAAACTTGTTAAAGATCTTCAGGAGACAAAACGTAGAGCTGATAAAAGTATTGAGAATATTTTAGATAATTGGTACAGGTCTTATCAATATCAAGAACTTTTTGGTGATCCTTTATATGATGATTATGATGGTGCTAACGATTGTGATAATAAAAGAGTAACTTTTCATTTTCAAAAAAATAATAATATCAATAATAATCAAAAGGTTTTGGGTAAACCTATACCCATTCCATTTATTAGTGATACTGATGATGAAACTTTTCCTTCTTCATCTAAGCCTCCTTCAAATAATAATTCAAAAAAGGATCGTGAACTTTTTAAAAATAAAATGATTAATAAAATGGAATCTATATCTTTACATGGTGATACTAAACCAAGGAATATTCCTCCAATCAAAAAAAATTCTGAAAGGAGAATGATACGTTCTTATAGTTGGCCTCCTACAATTTTAAGTATGTTTTTCTAATCATTTATTTATATATCATTTATTATTATTATATTATTTCTTAATCATTTATTATTATTATATTATTTCTTAATCATTTCTTAATCATTTATTATTATATTATTTCTTAATCATTTATTATTATATTATTTCTTAATCGTTTATTTATATTATTTCTTAATCGTTTATTTATATATTTCTTAATCGTTTATTTATATTATTTCTTAATCATTTATTATTATATTATTTATTATTATATTATTTCTTAATCATTTATTATATTATTTCTTAATCATTTATTATATTAATTCTTAATCATTTATTATTTATATTAATTCTTAATCATTTATTATTTATATTATTTATATTAATCATTTATTATTTATATTTATTTATATTTATTGATTTTTTTTTAGCTTCATCTCATACTCATCTATTAACAAGAATTGATTGTATTGCTCGGCGTATTCTCAAAACTACTATTCACGATTTATTGCATTTTAATGTTGCTATCGAACTCATGAAAGAACTTCAAGAGCTAATAGAGTTTCAAAGAAAAATGGCTGTAGGTAATGCTGATGCTGAAGAATTATTGACAAAATTAATTTATGTTTTTGCTGATGTGGCAAGAGCTGTTGAGGCTGTGGTAATGTACTCTTTTTTTTTTTACAATGATAATAATAATACCAATTTTATAAATAATAATAACAATAATTTTATAAATAATAATAATATTTATTATTATTACTATTATTATTATTATTTATAAAATTATTATTATTATTATTATTAGTATTAGTATTTTTTTTCAAAATTGATTATTAATGCTTTACTTAAAACTTAGAAAAATTCTTTTGCTGAAACAAATCCCGAACTCTCTGGTGATGGTGTAATAAAAGATGATATGCTAACAACCGGTCAAGAATGGTTATTACCTTCACCTTTATCATCTCCATCACCCCTTCCTTTAACTCCTTCATCATATTCTCCTCCACGAACATTATTTCAAATTCAAGAACGGCGTAAATCTTATGCCGAACTTGATGGAAAATCTCATACACTTTTACCTCCTCCATTATTTTCATCTCCATTGGCTCGTCACGTTACGACTCCTCCAATAATACGTGACTCAATAGTTTCTCCTGAACAACGTCGTGAAATTGCTATGGAAGCTGTATTTGAAAGCCCAATAATGTATGTCCCACCTCCTGCAAATATGGATGAACATCTTACTTGGAATACCTGGACAAGAAAACAAGTTGATCAAATGATTCATGAAGAAATGAATAGGGAAATTGATTATGGTATAATATTAAAAAAACAACAAGATGTAGATCCTGAATCAAAGAAAAAATCAAAAAAAGTATTTATATTATTATATATATTTTTTAATTATATTATTATATTTTTAATTATATTATTATATTTTTAATTATATTATTATATTTTTAATTATATTATTATATTTTTAATTATATTATATTATTATTTTTTAATTATATTATATTATTATTTTTAAAATAATTTATATTAACTAATATTAATTAATTAATTTTATAGTCAAAAATGGTGATTGGTTTTTTTAAGTCGTTAAAGAATGCTTTTCAGAGTCCCTCATCATCTATTGCTGGGTCGCCTGCAGGATCTCCGACTCTTCAACCGAGTCCCATTCGTAACTTGAATTTGCCACCTTCACCAAACGAACAATCTCGAACCCTTTCTATCGACTCACGATCAACTGCATTTTCTCGCCGTAATTCTTCGGTACAACTTAAAGGTGATAATAATCTTATTGGTAGTCACAGTCTCGCAACTCCATATTTTCAGACTCCAAATGATTATATGTTATGCCGTATTTGTGAAGAAATGATTCCTAGTTATGAAATGGCTGCACATTCTGAAACTTGTGCAGTTACAACAGAATATGCGATAAAGTTAAAAGAATGTGATGGTAGAATTAGTAGATTAGTTGGTGATGTATCGAAAAGAAAGATGGATCTTATTGTAGGTTTCTTTTTTAATCAAAAAAAATTTTTTTAAAGAAAAAAATTGGGGTTTTCAATAATGTAATAATTATTGTTTTTCTTATTCATATTTAGGAAACCAACGTATCTTATCAAGATTATTATAACATAAAAGATGCCGAGATGATGGAACAAATCGGATTAAAGTAATATTCTTGATATGTGTGTGAATTGTTTTTTTTTTATTGCTTCATTGTTAACATTATTATTAATTCTATCAGAGCTGCTGGCATTAAGGAAACGTTAAATCGTCGAGAAGCACTTAGAAAAAGTGAAAAATATGCGACTAAATTAGGACGTTTGGTTGAAGATATTGAGAAAATCGCCACAAGAGATGAAAAACTATTAATTTATGGAAAGCGACTACTTCATGTTGTAAGTATTGTCAATCAAGATCAATATTAATATTAAAATTAATATTAAAATTAAAATTAATATTAAAATTAATATTAAAATTAATATTAATATTAAAATTAATATTAATATTAAAATTAATATTAATATTAATGTTTATATTTATATTTATATTTATATTTATAAATTACTTAAATATTTATCAACATTTTAGGTCGAAGAGAAACATGAAACATTGCAAGCATACTTCCGGAAACTACGGTCAATCAAATCGGTTTCAATTGGTGGAACACCTGCTGTTAATTCTTCTTCAGTTGCTACATCATCAACTCTGATGGAAACTGGTGCTTTACAAATACCTCAAAAGGCAGTTAGAAAACAATCAATATCAAGCAGAGTGTTGTCAACATCTGCATCAAGTAAAGCATCAATAAACCTTTTATCAAAGCCTTCAAGTTCTCATCGTCAACGTAACAATAATGGTCAAAAAGATTTGGTATTATCTCATAAACGGCAGGAAAGTGCTGGATCAATTTCATATGGTATGTCAATCTTTAATCTTTAATTTTGACGTCAATCGACTAAAGAAATTAAGTTTGTGTTGGATATTTATAATTAAACTGTTTTAATACCTTTTTTAGATTCTGATAGTCCGTTACCTTCACGTAGTGGGAAAAAATTGATTTCATTATTTACTGCTATTTTACGTGGAGTAAACGGTCGTGGTAGCAACCCACCGAGTAAAGAGTCTAACAATTCTAATTCTAATTCTACATCAGTCAATGGTGACAAATTGGTAAATATTATATAAATTATAAAATATTATAATTAAATACTTTTGAGAATTTTTTTCATAATGTTTCGTAATATATCATTATTTTAGGGTGCTAAGACCAGAGTTCCAAGTATTCAAGATTTTGAAATAATAAAGCCTATTAGTCGAGGGGCTTTTGGTAAAGTTTATCTTGCAAGAAAAAAGACAACTGGCGACCTTTATGCGATAAAAATTTTAAAAAAAGTAGATATGGTTCGCAAGAATATGGTAAATCATGTACTTGCGGAGAGAAGAGTTCTTAGTTTGACAAGAACTCCTTTTGTGGTTAAATTGTTTTACGCATTTCAAAGCCAGGATTATTTATACCTGGTAAGTTATTACTTGTCTATTTTATTTATTTATTTATTTATTAATTTTTAATTTTTAATTTTTAATTTATTTTGTTTATTTTACTTACCATCTTAACATCTTACCATATAGGTAATGGAATATCTAATTGGTGGTGATTTATCATCTCTTCTTCAATGTTTTGAACGTTTTGAAGAAGATATGGCGCGTATGTACACAGCAGAAGTTGTGTTGGCGCTCGAATACCTTCACAAAAATGGCATAACTCATCGAGACTTGAAACCTGACAATATGCTTATCACCTCCGAAGGTCATATAAAACTTACTGATTTTGGTTTGTCCAGGATATCAATTCCTGAAAAAAGTAGTATTACTTTTGTTAAAGAAGGTGAATCAAATAATAGACCTGATAAAAAGCCAAAAAGTATGAGAGCTGGTAGTGTGGATTTTCGTACCAACTCTAATGGTCATCGTCCGGTTTCTTCAATCTTTCCCAATGAAAGCCCAAGAACTTCCGTCCATATTAATTTTCATAGTGTAGAACCACAACCATCATCTAATACTTCTACTCAATCATCATCATCAAAATTAACAAGAAAGCAGACTAAACAAAGTTCCAAAGCTCTTTTAGGTACTCCTGATTATCTTGCACCAGAATTACTTCTGGGTATTGGGCACACAACAGCAGTAGATTGGTGGTCTCTTGGTATATGCCTTTTTGAATTCTTGGTTGGTTATCCTCCCTTTAATGATGATACACCACAAGCAATATTTAGAAACATTTTAGATAATGATATTCAATGGCCACCTGAAGAAGTTTTGTCCACAGAAGCCAAAGACTTCATTTCAAAATTATTAAATAAAACACCTGAAAAACGACCTAGCGTAGATGAAATCAAAGCTCATCCTTTTTTTAACGGAATTGATTGGGAACATATTCGTCAACAACCAGCACCTTTCGTTCCTAATCCTGAAGATGAACAAGATACAAGTTATTTTGCGGCACGTAATATGCGTGCAGATATTCGCCGTCTTTCAGCAGGAAATCTTGATGAAATTGCATCTGGAAGAATATCATCTGAAAATCGTAAATCTGTTGCTTTTGATGATGATAATGAAATTAATTCACAGGCACCTAATAACCAAGCACCTAATAATAATGCTCCATCATCTCTCGTATTACAAACAATTACGGCAGAACCTATTGAATGTAATTCCTTAAATTCACCAATTTCGACACCTACATCACGTATTAAACCTGATTTAACAATCAATACTCATACACGCGATAAACGACAATCACTTTTAAAGAAAAAATCGACATCGTCTCTTAAACCATCACCAGTTGAAGAGACACCTGGTAGAACGATTCAAAAACGTAAACCATCTTTATTAAAATTACCCACAGGAAAATCGAGAAAATCATCTATAAGTGGTGCTAGTGACTGTGGCACACCAGTATCAGCGTCCAGTACATCTAGTACATCAACGAACCAATTCCCTTCATCTACACCGGCATCATCATCATTAAATCCATCAAGACTTTCATCACTTGTTGGATCGCAGGAACTATATGGATTTGACCAACAAAATAATACTCATGATGATGAAATATTAAATGTTGAAAATCAACAAACTAGTGATGATCCGGGATTTGATGGTTTTCTTTATAAGGGTGTTTCATTTTTAGGTGACTTGACCAGAGATGTATTATCATCTGGAAATGGAGGTGGAAATGGAAATTGTGTAATGAGAAAACCATCTATTGTTGATCTCAAAAATTAAAAAGTCATGTTAAAAAAAAAAATAGGGATTGTAGAAAGTGGAAATTGATTTGTAAAATTGAGGCAGGCAAATATAAAATTGTAACATAAAAATTGAAATTTATCCTTTTTCTTGTTAAATATTATTTCTTTCTTTTTTTTTTTTTTTAGATATATTAATAATTCTTTTGTAGTATAGTTTTTTGGTTACAAATTTATATGATGGATATTATTTTGATTTATGTTGCTTTTTTTCCTATCGCTATTCCGATTTAACAAATTAAATAAAACGAAAAAAATGATGAATCGCAACAAAAAATTTATTAATAAATTTCGCGAATTATAAAATTATCAAAATTATAACATAATAAAATTATAAATTCACAAAAATCATTACTCTTTTTTAAATTTTTAAAAGTGTGCATGAAACTTTTCACATTCTGACATTTGCATCGCTTATACCGTAGCCAAAGACTACCAACCAAAATTACTCAAAACTTCAAAATAATTTCCTTTTAATAAAACCAATTCTAGTACGTACCTGAAGTAATTAAATCCCTTAATACTGTTGTACATTATTATCAACATTCCATTCAGTATATTACCTCTATATTTTACCGAATTTAATACAACATCAATTAAATCCAGTACCTCTATATCTTCTTTTACTATTAAATTTTGCTAAAACAAGTGTAAATCAATCGATTAGCGTTAGTTGCCAACTACACTACTAATCGATTTTTCATCTCATGTGACTAAATTTGTCGGTTCACCAATCAAACTAAAGAAGCCAACACGGATTAGCCCTACTAGACGAATATCACGGAATTCAACTAGTCGATAATTAAATCGATTAGTTGGTTTAAAATTTTTCTAACTTAGTTGGAGAGTTGTCAACTAGTTGATTTTCAACTAAACGATTCGGATCACTAATTAAAACTTACGTCTTCTTTGCACTCTCTTTAAAACTTTTTTTAGTCAATAATTTATATAGTACAATATCAAAATCTTCAGTAGAATCTTATGATTTATAAGGAGTACATTTAAAAAATCTTATGATCACTCTGACATGGATTAACGGTTAGAACGCGGGTCCGCGGCAATACCCCTAGACACGGTCTATGTATGTGTCCGCAGGTTCGACTCCGGCTGGTGCCATGCTCTTCATGAAGTGAAGATTGCCCAGTTGAAATGTCAGATGATCATTATGGGCCTTTATTTAGTCATTTTGCCCAAAAATATGATTATTGCGAATTTGTCCTACACTAAAACTCAAAGTCTCATGATCAAATGATTCGATTTTATCACAAAATTTATCACTAAACTAATCATACCATACCAATTTTGGAACTTTAGGTGCCTGAAATTGAAATTAGCCCCTAAAATCATTCCGCACGCACACTTCTGGCAGATGCCAACCTTTGGCACTCAGGCATGACATTACCATCCTTGATCATTTGATAGTGAAATAGTGGTATACATTGATTCATGACAACTATTAACACCATGACTTAAAAATAACGATAAAATTTTAAATTATTTTAATAAAATATTTGTCTAAGGCCGCATCTACAGTATATAGGCCAATTTTTGTAATTGCCAATAACTTTTAATCTATTGGTTTATTTTAAATGAGTTTATTACAAAAATGATCACCTCTCAATGAGATGATTTTAACAAGTCCAAAATTATCAAAATCTAATCACAGGATTTTTTTGTTTTTTTTATAAGGTGTCCTTTGAGACCAAGCTTTATCGATGTTTATTGTTGACCACATAGGTCTACATTTTAGTATTACAACAAGAGTACAACTAGCCACACATACAACTTTTGGTTGCCTATTTAAGTAGTCTTTCTGAAGGTTCTACACTAGATGCTATGCCTATAACCCAACTAGGGTATTATCTATTTAAATCTTCTGATCGTATATATTTACCAATTATTCTAAGCTAGGCATCTTTATACTGAAGTGCCTTCACTAACTTACCTGAACTTGGTTATCCTTTGGTTACCCATAGGTTTCTACAGATGGGTGTAGTAGCTACTCCTCTAATTCTTTTATGTCCCACACATTTTTAAATTAGGTTTAGAGAACCTATCTGCTATAGTCAAGACCAACACTAGTGGTTAGGGTTAACCATTAAACTACACAATTCCTAGCTTTCCTGCCCTTACAAGGTTCATTCTAATTCCAGTATCAACATTTACCTTTCTTCTAATCCTTATACCGATTTTTTCCAAACTTCTAATTCAGTTAGCCTGGATAGGTCAGTATACTTAGGCTTTAAGTGTCTGGTAGTTTCCTTCTTTTGGTTCCTAATTCTATAGCATAGGATCTTTTCCTCCAATGCAACTCCAGTAGTCAGATTGGTGAATCCTTCTTGTCACAGTATTATATGTTCTGTTCTTCGGTTTCTAGTTTCTGGGATTCCAGCTTCTGCAGTATTATCAAAGATAGGGATGTTACAGTCCGTCCCAGTCCAGTCTTAGTCCCAAAGACCGGTCCTAGCAGAGGACCGGAGACTGGACCACGGTCCAGGACTGGTCTATAACCAGGTCCATAACCCGCTCTATTGGCTGGTTTTCAAAGTAGGCTATATGGTTTTTAATGATCACTACATATAAAAAGATAAATTAATCATGTTGGCACTTCCAAGTTATATGTATATATTTGAAAAGTACAAATTTTATATCGATATCGGTTGTAA